CGGGGTAGCCCGAGTCCGCCTAAACCCTACCCCACCGCCCTAAGCCTCCCCTCGCCTCCCACCACCCAAACCCTAACCCTAAACCCTAAACCCTAAACCCTAAACCCTAAACCCTCACTGGCCCGCTCGTAGAAGCTCGCCAGCCTCGCCCCCAAGTACGCGGGATAGCCTGAGTCCGCGGGCATCTCCGCGAGTCTCCCCGAAATCTCGCGAAGAGCTTCGGCCCATCTCGAAGTGGAGTCGGCCATCATGGCCACGTTGTAGCCCATGTCTCGAAAGTACTCCGCCAGCGTTATGCCTAGCAGCAGCAGCAGCAGCAGCAGCAGCAGCAGCAGCAGCAGCGGCAGCAGCAGCGGCAGCAGCAGCGGCAGCAGCGGGGGAGGAGGAGGCGTGGGGGGATAGCGGTTTGCTGCTGCTGAGGTGATGCTGGTGGTGCACACGAGGCGGGCCGACCGTAATAATAATAACAGTCATAAACAGCAGCAGCAGCAGCAGCAGCAGCTGCTGCTGCAGCAGCAGCTGCTGCAGCAGCAGCAGCAGACCTCTATAAATCGAAACTTCTCTAGCAGCAACTGGCATGTTACTGGTATTAGCCACGAGGCAAGTATGCTGCATTATGCCTTCTTCCTTGCCATCCACTGTCGTCGTCAACTCCGGAAAGTCCGCCAAAACTTCCGCCATTTCGTTGCCGCGTTCTCCACACCCCACATACACTATCACTTCGCTGTTGCTGTACTTCGACAGCGCCTGCAGCAGCAGCAGCAGCAGCAGCAGCAGCAGCAGCAGCAGCAGCAGCGGCAGCACACGCTGTCACTTCGCTGTTGCTGTACTTGGACAAAGCTTAGGTCCAGCAGCAGCAGCAGCAGCAGCAGTGGCAGTGGCATACACTAGCACTTCGCTGTTGCTGTACTTGGACAGAGCCTAGCAGCAGCAGCAGCAGCAGCAGCAGCAGCAGCAGCAGCAGCAGCGGCAGCACACGCTGTCACTTCGCTGTTGCTGTACTTGGACAGAGCTTAGCAGCAGCAGCAGCAGCAGCAGCAGTGGCATACACTATCACTTCGCTGTTGCTGTACTTGGACAGGGCCTAGCAGCAGCAGCAGCAGCAGCAGCAGCAGCAGCAGCGGCAGCAGCAGCGGCAGTGGCGGCGGTAGGGCGTGGGGGAGGAGGCGCGAGCAAGGGGGAAGGGGGCGGCAGCAGCGGGGAGGAGAAGCAGCAGCAGCAGCAGCAGCAGCAGCAGCAGCAGCACCTGCAAAGGGCTGCGCGACACTACCCAAACCCTAAACCCTAAACCCTAAACCCTAAACCAGCAGCAGCACCTGCAAAGGGCTGCGCGACACTACCCAAACCCTAAACCCTAAACCCTAAACCCTAAACCCTTCTCACTTGGGAAATGCAGGTCTTGCCGCACCCAAACGCTCCTGGGATGGCGCATGTACCGCCCTGAAGTAACACAGCAGCAGCAGCAGCAGCAGCAGCACATAGTATCACCATCACCATAACCACCACAACCAGCAGCAGCAGCAGCAGCAGCAGCAGCAGCAGCAGCAGGACCTGAACTGTGGGAAAAAGGCAGTCGAAGACTCTCTGGCCAGTGAGCAGCGGACAATATCCCCATCACAACCACCACCACCACAACCACCACCCCAATCAGCAGCAGCAGCAGCAGCAGCAGCAGCAGCAGCAGCAGCAGCAGCAGCAGCAGCAGCAG